CAAGACGCCTTTATTTTCTTATTTTGTAGACTGTTAGTTTTTATCTTATGTCTTTAAATGTGTGTGTGTTCCTTTTGTCGTTAGAATTAAAATCTATTAGAGTGCATAATTCAAAATATACATTCCTCGTGGGATCGACAATCCGGACTCTTTAGGTCCACTTTATTACTTGAATGCGACCCGTACGCTTGCGGTACGATTTTCAGCGAACAAAAACCCATGTGCATCTGGAATAATCGTCAACCAAAGAAAGAAAAAATCTGTAGCCATTGAAAGAATGCACACTAAATGGACCCCAAATGTCACAATGGACTAAATAAAAAATTCTGTTTGATATTGATTCACTGATAGGGAAATGGTAATTTCTTTTGCTTTGCTAGAGGACAAACTTCGCATATATGTAAATTGTTACAAGGTATCTGAGGTGTAATTTGTGGGATTTAGACATTATCGCATTGGATATATGTCCAAGCTTGTGATGCCATAGGTCATAGTTGGAATGTTGAGAAGATGAAGCTGCTGGACTGGAGATAGATTGAGGCATATGTTGATCATGACTAGTCAGTAGATGATATAAGCCTCCTTTTTCCTTAGCAAAACCAGTCATCATCATGCTAGACAGATCCTGTATGAAGCAATGAGTGGCAGAAAATAATACACATAGGTTAGAAGATTTTGTTAACTTGGAAACTAAAATAAGGTTGAATGAAAAGAAGTTACACATAGAACATTGTTAAGAGTTGAGCTATCAGAAATTTTGACTTTGCCAATGTGACTGACTGGTGTGGAGGATCTATTTGGTAAGTGAACATTGCTACTTGTGGTTGAATCAATGGATGTGAAAAGGTTTGGTGAACAGATCATGTGATCTGTTGCACCTTTATCGATTATCCAGGAAATACTTGTTGGCTTGATAGAGTTATTACATAAAGAAATACATATAGTAATAATGGCTGCTATGGGGTTATCTGTTTTTGGAGCTGATTGTGTTTATTGAGATTTGGTAATAGCAATGAATTACTGGTAAAGTTCTTGATTGAATGGATAACTTGGTCCCCCCATCATTTGCAGGTTGATTTATTGTTACAACATGAGCAGAAGAGGTATCAGCAAACATTCTTGGTCCTCTAGGACCTTTCCAGCCCGGGGGAAGGGGGGGTGGGTTGGAAGCACTTATCTGTAGTGTGATTAAGGTAACCACAATGGGTGCATTTAGGTTTCTTTTTATCCTTCCAAGGTAGGGGTTTACTGAATCATCTAGGAGGCTGTCTTGCAGCCATTGCAGCTGATTCTGGTAATGAATGAGCATGTAGATCTCGCCGGCTTTCTTCTTAAAGTAAAAGAGCATATACCCGAGCTAATGATGGAAGTGGGGCAGTTAGTAGCAACTAGCTTCTCAATGCTGAATATGATTCATTTAGCCCAATAAGGAACTTTATAACTGCATTTGATTGTTTTGTATCCGATATGATTCGGAGTATATCATAAGTGCAACTGGAAAGCATTCAACAATTACATTTTGGGAGTGGTCTACAATTAATGTACTCATCTCAAGTAGCCTTGAATGAATTGTAGTATGTGGTTAATGACTGTGAGCTTTGAGAAATGGAGCTAAGGAATATCTCCAAGTGATACACTCTAGGTCCATCACCACGAATATATCTATTCTTGAGTTCATTCCACACTTTACGGGCAGATGAAATATACAATAAACTTTGACAAATTTCTTTCTGGATTGAATTCAACAACCAAGATAATACCAGATTGTTAGCACATACCAACAATTGTATACAACACCACTTATTGGACTTGGAGCTGGTAGGGAACCATCAATGAAAGCTGATTTATTTTTGACACTTAGTGCCATAGAGATTGAACGGCTCGAAGAAGTGTAATAGTCTCCATTGAAGACCTCAGACATAATTAAAGCCCTAGGATTATCACTTGGATGCAAAACGTAATGACTTGTTGGATCATCAACACAATTAAAAAGTGAATTCGCCATAGTCTGATATGTTCTGTTTCGCTTCAGGAAGAAAAGGGAAACGACATAATTTTATTTGTAGATAAATGGTTTTGATACCATGTTAAATTTCTTAACTGATAGAAGAAAATTTAGAAGAAGGAGATGAATTCTTCATTAATTATTCATTAAGAAACGCTTGAAATGATATTACATTTATAGGCATTACATATGAATCTTTTATCAACAGTTTTAACTAACTAGCTGTATTTATTCTAACTACCTACCTACCAAACCGATTCCTTTGACAGCTAAACGGGTATAACTTCAACTTGGCTGTTATGGGAGCTGCTATCTTGGCTTGGCTGGAGCTGGATGATTTGGAGCTGAAGATGAAGTTGATGCTGTCTTCTCTGCTTCGTAAGAGATCGTGTAATTATCACTAGTCAATGTGGGACTCTAATATGCCCCTTCACGTACATCGTGAACCATGCCAAACAATTGTGAACAAATATATTAGGGGAGGATTGCCCCCACCTTATTAAGTGGATCATTTATATTTTCCGAAGTAATGTGGAATTCTAATACGCCCCCTCACACATAGTGTGGACCATGCCAAACAATTGTGAACAAATCGATATTGGGTGCACCCAACATTGCAAAATTGGGCCTGCTCTGATACCACATTACATAGGATATTGGGCGTAACTCAACCTAACAAAACCAGCTTGTTAGAGGAGGATCCTCACTTTATTAAGTGGATCGTGTAAATATCATCGATCAATGTGAGACTCTAATAATTGATTCTAATTCAGCTAACCAAAAAACACATTTCGGTCCTAATACCTACACATCTAGAAACCTAAATTTAATACGTCCACTAAGAAAGAAAAAGAAGCCAGTTCATCCTATGAACTGTCTGTCATATGCGTGTGCATGTAAGTTTCAGTAAAGTGAAGAAAATGGGAATGTCCTCAGCTGCTTGTTTAAAAGTGGGTTTGATTTCTTTCTTTACCCTAAACCCATAGTTACAACTCGTTACGGTATAATTCAGGGGCAACGTTAAGCAACAAGAAGTAGAAATCCATAATAGATTTCGACCACAATGACGAAATTGACTATCTTCGTGCATAAGGATATTGGATTAACTAGTAGACAAGATTGAAAATTTCTCACAATAGCAATTTTTGGATTATTATATGACGATCATTGATGAATGACTGAATGATTCAATTTGGTTGGGGGTAGATAAAACGGGATATTTGATAGCACAACGGAGAAAAAGAAACTGTGAAAGACAAAGTGCTTGATTTGTTCATCTTGATTAAAGTGAACAAAATGCTGCTGAGACTACGGCTTTTGATGTTTTATCAAAATTGTCAAAAAACATGCCTCTACAGACACCAATCAATCGAAATTACATTAGACAATTAAATATATAAGCCAAGTTAAATTTATTCCGAAAACTGAAAAAATAGTTCAAAGAATAAAATTCAAATCGATTTTATTTTTAAAAGAGCACATCTTTTCTCAACTATGATATCTAGCATAAAATCATTAAATGTCTAGAATAAAAATAAATAGAAGTCCTTAAACAATTTGGTCGGTTTTCAAATCGTTTTCAGTTTTGCAAAACACCCAAAATTTGTTTGATTTGTTATTTCTGAAAATGCATTTTCGAAAATAAGGTTAAACTTGTAACGTAAAACTCAAAACGTATTTTTAATGTCTTAAGTATTTTCAGTGAAAATTCTGAAAAACACTCGGAAAATTCTAAAATTTCAATTATGATGTCTAGCATAAAAGCATTTTTAGCATTTTAAGTATTTTCAATAAAAATTCTAAAATTTCAAAAAAAAATTGATAAATTATAAAATATATAAAAATTAAAATTAAAATTTTTGAAAAAAAAAAAAGTAAAAATAATTCAAGNAAAATTAAAATTAAAATTTTTGAAAAAAAAAAGTAAAAATAATTCAAGCTCTTAGTAATTATTTATATAAAAATTCTAAATAAAATTAAATAAAAAAATGAAAATGTTCCTAGTCCACATCATTTTTAATTCCTATATTTTGTCAAATTAATTAATTGTTCATTTTTATTTTATTTTTGCAGCGAAAAAAATGTTGTAAGATTAACCAACTTTAAAATAAAACCTTTTTATTTTACGAAATTATCAAATTTCATGTAATAAAATATCATGTCAAACACCTTTTTAACATTCGTAAACCTAATCCTCAAAACAAAAAATTGAAAATAAACTCAAACCAAACAAACCCTTAACTTTTGGTTCAAAACAAGCATCTTCTTACCTCATTTTTCATCTAAATAGATTCGGACGTCCTAAAAGTAAATAGCACATACAAACTTTTTGTCCACACATTTTAAAAAAGTTACGTGCACTACTCATAAACACTGCTTTAATTTATTAACCCGATATTTCTATTAATTTATAAACACTGCTTTAATTTAGTTGGACGGATAAGTTATTTGCTTGTTGAGATATTGCATTGTTGTTCCCAATGGTCTAGATTACATCCACCATTTTCCTTCTCATCAAATCACCTAAAAAGATTTGAAAAAATAAAAAACTATTCACAATAAAGTAAGATTAATCATTCAACCCAAATTTCACAGCAACACAACCTGTATCCCCTTGCTATTGCAGCAGAAAAACAATCTAACGCCTATGTGGCACCAAATGTCCAAATCTCGAATCTACTTTCTCGTGAACTTGGTCAACGAATGCAAAACAGTTTTCAGGGAGTCATCAGAGATGGAACTAAAAAGTTAATCTGGAGTTTGCATTAAATGGGAAATTACAGGTGCTTCCAGGTCAAGATTACAAAATAAACTCCATTTACTCAACTATTTCATAGAAACTAATCAACTTATGTACACATTACGGTCACCAATTAGTCGACATCAAAACTGAAGCTGAACCGTCTATTGTTGTAGCTCAGTGTGGACTGGTCTCGTTAGTGCTCTTATAAAGTAGCTTCGCGTCTCTGGTAAAATATGTTGGATCAGCTGACAGTACCTGCATCCGCATATACGATTACTCAGAAATATTATACCACATTTCAAGATAATAACAGAAAGAAAGCAAGCAGACAAAAGGAAAGAGCTGGATGGGCATTACCATGGCATAATACTTAGTTTGTCAAAGTTTTCCAAGATGAATAGAATGCAAGAATGCCTCAGCGACAACGCATTGAATGCCTCCGATAACTCAAACATGAGAGAGACATTCTCCACAGAAATGTCCTTGAGAAGACACAAAGAAATCATTGGAACACCAAATAAGATACAATGGAAAATACATCTGTCTTTTATTTTTATATTTGGGAAATACCTGTGCAATGGCATATTCACACAGGCGCTTAAGCCCCTCCAAAAGATACTGATCGGCAGCTTTCAGAAGATCTTGTGCAATATCCAAAGTGACATCAACAGAACCTGTGTATATGTACCTGCAAGCACAAAATAATTTAGAATTAGCATATTTCATGAGAAGAATTGCATTATAGATGCAGAGTTGGAAGGAATCTTGAAATCAATTCACCTCATCATCAACTCAAAAACATCCCATCTAATGTTCGGAATTTCTATGTTCTTTGCTTCTCTTTCCTGCCAAAAAGTCCAAAGGATTTTAGAGAACTTATAGACCAATTAAGCACAAGAATGTAACAAATCAAGTCTCTGCAATTCAAAAGATCATAGACTGGTTCTGTAGAATTCGTGACCCTTTAAATGTGCCACGACTACTGAATTTCAAGTTTCTTTTAACTTATATGTTTATTGGAAGTCAATGTTTTCTAACTGCATGTACCCTTACACATTCCAGGTGATCACAGATCAGCTGAAAAAAAAACCTGGACAAAACCATTCAACCAGAAAGAAGCTGTTATTGACACCTTTTTTCAATATATATTTTTGTATCCCAAGCCATAGAAAGATATGGGAGCACAGGCACCCAGATCAGAGCAAATTCCACATTCTTTTAAAGCCATATCTTCTCTAAATCCCAGCCTACCTACCATGCCAACTAATGTCATAAAATCGAAAAGGTTGATTCCAATATCAGGACAGATGACGATGGAGAGATGTCCAAACTTGGTCGCACTCTAACCATGTGATCTGAATGAAATGAAATAGTAGTCAAAGTCTTTGGAAAAATTCAAATGGGTTTATCCAAAAAGTCGTTTGAAGGAACCAAAGTCAATGTTGGTGATATTTAATTGTGGAGGTGCAGCTGATTTTCAAATATGGAGATGATTTTCATTTTTCTTCCCTCTCAAGTGCCTCTTGAATATGGAAACAACTTCGCTTCTGTCATCTAAAAGCTAGTATAGTCAAATTTCTAATTGTGATATATCCGTAATTTCTAGTTTATTTTCATCTTCCAGATTAAAAGAACGTCTTATGTTGATGGACAACTAGTAAGTACCATGCAACCAATGGACCAGTGAGGTGACAGATTCATTCAGCAGGTCCAGTTTTAGGGGGTAAAATGCCATGTAGGAGAAGCGTAGATTGTAAATAACGCGCATAATTCTTAGCACTTAGCAAGCTGCCGAAAGGAAAGGTGTAACATATACATTGTGTAAGTATAACATATGTATATTCACTATGTCATGTATATAAGATATATCACATATCCTTTTACACGAGGCAAAAAATGTGAGAGATCAACCCAACAATTAGGAAAAGGGACCATATAGGTATTAAGTTCAAAACAATGCTCACCCGATAACCACCATCAAACATTGCCCGGAATGCATCAGACGAAGCAAGTAAACAAATTCTGTGTGCATAGAACGTTTTGCCTGATCAAAGAAAATAAGATTATGTCAAGATTATGACATGGAATTGCTCAGCATGAGCATGCACATAAAGACTACGTGCAAACAAGAGAACAGATTTCCACCTTCAACCAAAAATGTCACGTCAGACAATGTAGGATTATTTACAAATTTCTCACCCAAATACACCTGTAGCAACAAGGGCAGCACAGTTACTACAAATAAAATAATAAAAATAATAATCTGGCCACATTAAATAACATAACAAGATGCCAAATAACCATCAAGCAGATAGCATTATCAATATGCATAGAATTCAAAGCATATGACTTCAATAGGTCAAATCTTTATTTCCAATTTTAGGTAACTGACATTTCTTCCGGCATTCCACAAACATTAACATCTTAGTGACACATCAAGAGGACCTACTAACAGTTTCACAAATAAAGACATAAGAATTCATTCCTCTCCACAAGGTGTTACCAAAGGTAGATTGAACACATTCCATTTTGTTTATTTGCTGTAATCAATTCAATTCCATGTGTCTGTCAAAACAACAAATAATTCAAAGAGCGGGGGACAAGCAGAAGGCTCTGGAAATGATGGCAAGCACTAACAATGGATTCAAAGCCGTGAAAGTGTATACAGCAAGACAAACTGGCAAAGTTGAAGAGAAAAACAGGAAAGCAACACAAGACACAGTAAAATTTAATTGCTACCAAGAAAAGGATTTCCTTGAGATAGATTGAAAGAGTTGAAGAAGAAAAAAGATTAACTTCTATTGGGGTTTTCTTACAAGCAGCAGTGTTTTAGAATGCACACAAACAGTCACGTTGATAAAACGTGGATATTTAGAATCTATCACACATGATTCTGTGGCATTTGAAGCACGCTTTTTGTAGAAATCATTGGGATGAAAATATAAAACTTGTGGATTCCACAACGTTACTAGTAAATCTTAATTTATATACAACTACATTTCCGCTAGCCAAACAAGTCTCGGAAAAGTTCAGCACACCTTACTCTTTCTAGCTTCAAACTTCGACTGACAAGCATATATGATATGCCTAATTGTGTCATTATTTCTAGTTGAGCAACATGATCGTATTTTCTTCTAGTTTTCACTGTCTAGTTTAATAATTTCCCTAATATTTGAGTTAAAGTGCTGAAAAGATATGGAAATTACAATATTTAAAAAATCTATCAGCAATAACATTACATTGATTGACCAACTGACTGACTAAACAAAAACATGGATGCACATCCAAAATGATGGTAATAAGCAGCACCTGAGGTGTTGGGGAGGGAGGAGCTGCATCCACAGGAGAAAGTGAGCTGACTTTACTAGCCACCTTGCACAAAGCCAAAGAGCTATCTTTTTGGTACTTCAAGTTAGTTGATTCCAGAATCTCCAAGAGCAACTCCAGTCCTATAAGAACAGAAGGTCGATGAATCGGATAGTTGGCATATATTTCAGGAGGCCAGTGATGGAAATAACAGCAACACTAACTTCCGTAAGAGAAATTCGATGAATAATATACCATTGTTATCGATGAAGATTGTCTTTTGATCATCTGGAGAACAGAGATGAGCAAGGGCCAAGGCCACTCGTCTTTGAACAACTTTCTCACCAACACGCATCATGTACAACAAATGACTCAAAACCTACCAAGCACAGTATATGAAGTGATCACCAGGAAACATGCTTATATATAAAAAACAATCAGAGCAATCAATAAATTAAGAAACAACTTCTTGATCATATTCATTTCCTCCAATAATATATTTGTATTTGTCCAGGTATCTACATATTGTTTATGTATTTCTTGAGAGCTTAAGTTCAAGGTATTGAATTATGACAGGGATACGCCACTATTGGCACTTGAAACAATTATGAATTCACGGGATTCATCACATTTTTAAATGCATCAAAGATACTCACTCGTCCATGAATTTTCTCTTCAAGTCGTTTCAATGTTTTCGCTACGCAATCCCTAGTTGGCTGCAGCAAAAGAAAAATTAGAAATTACTTTTACCTATCCATGACAGGATATACAGAGCTTGTTTGGGATGGATTAAAATCGGGTTAAAATTGAAAATATAGCTGTTATTGTTGACTTTTATTAGATGAGTGGGACCCAATAACGACTATATTTTCAATTTTAATTGGATTTTAAGCCGTACCAAACAGGCCCTTAGTATTCAATCGGGCTAATACAGAATCGTTTATAAATTAGTTTACATATGCTAAGGTGACATGATGTTTAAGAGTTTGTTTGGGAAATATTAAAATCGGATTAAAATTGAAAAATTAACCGTTATTGTTGACTTTTATTAGACGAATGGGACCCAATAACGGCTATATTTTCAATTTTAATTAGATTAAAATCCCTCCCAAACAAGCTCACAGTCATGTAATCAAACCAGAAGTCAATGTATCTGTTACCACAAAACTCAAATAGGTAGAAACAGTACCTGAACAATAAATTCGCCATCTTGAAGTTTCTGAACACCTCCAACCCTGATAAGATCTGCAACATTATCCTGGAGAAAAAAATTATCACAGAACAAAATTCGAGAGGACATAAGTAAACACACCAAATTGAAGCTAATTTTTTTAGCACAGAATGAAGATACAATTACTACTAATAACATACAGAAACACAATACCTCATTATCTGCCAGCCCATAAAGAGCAAATGCGGCATTATGCTGTAGAGAACCATTTTTGGATCCAAGAAGCTTCAGTAATGGCAATACACCGCCACTGTGTGCAATACCAGCTTGGTTGTGTGCATCCTATAAAAGCAAAATGGAAAACATGATCATCCACCAAGTAATTCATTTCTCATGAAGGATCAAATTTCACAAAGGCAATTATTCAAATGGCATTAAGCAGCAGTAAATGAAAAAAATATTTAACATCCTCCACAACATAGTTATCCAAATTCATATGTGAAGGTGATAGAAGAGACTACATGCATAATCTATAAATTTTAATTATGGTCAGCTGTCAAATATACCATACATTTTGTTTCTAAAGATGCCCCGGCATTCATCTTAAACTGATTTCTTCCTTCTAAATATAACATGATGGTTTCAGTGAAAAAAGGAAAGAAAACGAGCCTAGTCAGACAGCTAACGCGTTTTAACCAATATGGAAATAAAAGGCGATGTAATATCACTCCATTCTGTGATCCATGTAAACATCCATTAAAATGAACCCTCAAACTGAAACCCATCTATAAAAAGTAACAGTGGATTATATTCAATGGTAGAATAATTGAAACATCCAGAAAAATTGAAAGCCATATATCATTTATGATACCGAAACAAAGGTTTGTACCTGCGGAACCTGTAAAGGAAAAATACAGTTGATGAGAAACTCATGAGACTCAAAAGATTTGACATTCATTACCTGAGCCAATCTCCCCAGTGCAAAGGCTGACATTTCTCTTAATTGGGCATCTGGTGATTGAAGCATCTCAATGAGTGGCCTCACAGCTCCTCTTTGGACAATGTGCACCTGGAAAAGCATCATACAGAAATTGTATGAGGGATTCGAATTTGCAAAAAAATTTAACACAATGAAAATGCAGGTTCAAAAATTGATTTCACCCCACTGAAAAGTAAAATAGCTGAAGTATTATCTACAACCTTACAGTCTGAATCAGTAGCAGCAAATTGCCCAAGCAGCAAAGCAGCTTCTCTTTGGCTCTCCGAACAACATGAACTGTGATAAAATTAAGGACACGCATTTTCAAATTAGAGAATGACAAAAGAAGCATTTTGAATGAGTCAAAATTGAGATAAATAAACTTAATAGTCTTCCTGAGAAAAAACAGTACTTCATGACACAAAAAAGGACAGCTAAAGATTTTTCACTCATTTATCCACAGAGAGACCTTCACTCAGATATGGTTCCACACATGTTACTGAAGAGAAAAACTAGAAACTGTACTTCAGAAAGAGTAAAAATCCATCACCATAAACTAAAACTCAAATTCATCACCTCAATCAAGTTCCGTTTTCCCAAGGGAAGAACAAAATTTAATACAATTAATAAAAAAAGATTCTGAACTACTCACTATACGACACGAAGCGACCAAGAAGACCCACTGATTGTGAATGCTCGAAATTAAGAGACAGGACTTGCAGAAAAAGAAAAAGGATAAAGAATTGGTCAAGTAAATTAAAATATGGAGAAGGAAATTACAGTGAAAATAAAGGCAGAAGGAATGACAAGGGCGAATAGATGTGTGTATATAAATTAAGTTTGGTGGGTTATTACTAGGTGAAAGCAGTAGTGCAAGGATTTTCTGGATTTAAAGGATGACAGGATTAGAAAATATGAATGGTCTGCCTTCATTTTTATTTTTTTTTTGTCATGGAGGGAAATAAAATAAGGTGCGTTGACTTTGAAAGGGAGAGAAATTGTGGCTGCTGACCACGGTTATCAATGACATAAAGCAGCTACCAGCTGGCCTCCTACATAGTTCAGTCCTTTTATTTTGCACTGTGTTTAGCAACTTGACTAAGCCAGTGACTTTCGGTTCCCTGGTTTGTTGATTTATTTAACAGTGAAAATAAAGGCAGAAGGAACGACAAGGGAAAATAGATGTGTGTATGTAAATTAAGTTTGGTGGGTTATTACTAGGTGAAAGCAGTAGTGCAAGGATTTTCTGTATTTAAAGGATGACAGGATTAGAAAATATGAATGGTCTGCCTTCATTTTTATTTTATTTTTTTGTCATGGAGGGAAATAAAATAAGGTGCGTTGACTTTGAAAGGGAGAGAAATTGTGGCTGCTGACCACGGTTATCAATGACATAAAGCAGCTGCCAGCTGGCCTCCTACATAGTTCAGTCCTTTTATTTTGCACTGTGTTTAGCAACTTGACTAAGCCAGTGACTTTTGGTTCCCTGGTTTGTTGATTTATTTAACAATGTACATGGCTTGAAATCAGAGCAAAGGTGGCTTGGGAAGATTTGGATGGTAGGTCGCTAACATCCAAAAAATTAAGTAATACAAAACACTAGAATCCATATATTCTAAAGTACCTAAGTAACCCGATGACAGGTTGTAAAGCTCCAGCAGCAAGGACTTCTTTCTTAATGTTTGGGGATGAGTGGACCAGATTCCCAATGACACCAACCTGACACTTGGCAAATTAGAAGTCTGATCTAATTATAGACACAGTACGACATACAAATTGCAATAAATACCAAATCTGCCAATATAGTAAGAATAAAGAAGATTGTGGCCAACCGCTTCGTAGTGTATGGCAGCATCTTCAGACCGCAGCATTAATATAAGAGTAGGTAGAGCATTGCAATCCACAATCTGCAAATAGTGACCAAAATTAAAATGGTAAAAGAGGTGATACTATGGAATATAAATCTGTAATTTTGTAAAATCAACAAACCTGATTCTTGTTCTCATCATTTTTAAAGGCAAGGGTTCTCAGAGCTCCAGCAGCTGCTCTCTGAACCTTTGCATCAAGGAACTCGAGCAGTTCAACAAGAGGTGGGATACCACCCTCAATTCTGAATTATAAGTTTAGTGTTAAAATGTAGGTGTAGTATTTCACGTGAATAATAGGCATTAGCAAAGAGAAAACCAACCTAACACGAGTTTTAATGCTGCTATTCTCATGAGCAAGATTAGTGATTGCATCTGCTGCTCTCCTTATGACACCATTTACTGCCCTGGAGTTTTGATTTTCCCTGTGCCTCTTTAACAGACCCACAAGATGAGGTAGAGCTCCAGCATCGACAATGAGTTGTTGATGCTCTGGCTGTAAAATAGACGAGAAACAGTGTGAACAAAAAGATCTGATTCACGTGAACAATGTAACAGTTACAAGCCCCTTTTTCTAGAACCATATGCACTGGCAGACCTTCAGGAAGCATGAGTGATCAGAAGACATTATCCAGACAAAAAGTTAAAAGTATATGTTGCTTTCTGCAACTTGTTTAATGTTTAATAAGACTTCCTCATTTCATTTGCATATAAAAACACTGATATATACAAGGAAACACAGTAATTATCAAAGGACAATTGTACAGTATAAAAATTTTCAACTTGGTGATTCTGATGAAATTTAAAGATGTTTTTCCGCAAAATCTATACAGTTGTTTGCTGAAGTAAAACCTTGAGTGGCTAAAAAATATGGTATCTACATCTACATATAACATCTTGATAAAGCATTTGGCAAATAATTACAAATGGTTGCAACCATCCAGCCAAACTATAACTTCCTATATGTTGCCCAGAGTATATACTAAACAAGAGTAGAACATGCCAACAAAATAATTAAGATGTCATAAGGTATGAGATTTAGGGGAGAAATCAAACTAGATGGATATTGTACTGTTTTTCAAAATGTGTACAATTTCCAGTTAAAACTGTGAATATCTATTAGCACTTCCGTGCACAATCGGTGTAGAAGAAAGCAAAAAAATTCCTACCCGTGCTTAGTCGAAGAAGCAAAAATCCAAGAAAAGACTAATTAAGACCAAAAATCCTGAGTTTAACGATTTACTTTAATGGCAAGGAGTCCAAGCGTGAAGGCGCTCCCCTTCTCGACTTCATGTTCATAAGGCCTCGGACCAGTGTCATCCTCTCTCAACGGCAGAGGTGCCTGTAGATGCCTCACCAATTCCGGAACCGCCCCGCAGTCCACTATCACGTTCACTATTTCCTCTGCAACCACACACCCCACATTTCTCCACAGATAAAAATACTAAACTGTAAATCCAACACTTCCATACTTCATAAAACCGTACCAGCGCATAATTCACAAAATTTATATTTACAGAATTTAATAGTACCGTTCTTTGCTAGTTCGGAGAGAACGTGGATTGCGCGTTTAGCAGACGCGCGATCCGCCTCGGTATACGAGAACGCCGACTCAAGGATCTCGACTTGTGCACGAATTTCACTCACGAGATCTTTTCGTTGCGCTCCACGAGGAGAAAGAGAGATCGAATCGTCGCGGACGATCTTTAACCGATCTTCTTTAAATTCATCGTCCGGTTTCCTCTTCAAGCTTCTCCGAGATGACGATGAACTCGAAGACGATTGCTCGTGGCGCCTCCCAGAGCTCTTTTGGTTGTCCATGGGAGAGAGATGTAGAGAGAGAAAGAGATGAGGAGAGAGAAAGAAAATGCTTTCTGTCTGTGGGAGGGAGAGAGATTGTGTGTGTGAAGTGTGTGTAGGGGTAGTACGGGAAATATGTCGGTGTGCGATTTGTACATTTACGTGGGATTTGGCGCATGGTTTTCCAGTAAAACCCGCCTCTGCTAATGAATTGTTTGAATTTATGGGCTCCCGCGTTAGCTACAAAAAAATAGTAATTAAAATAAATTCAATTACTTATATATCCCTAATTTATTAATTATAACAAATACTTCAATAATCAATTTTTGGATAAATAATATTCCTTTTGTTAATTACAAAAAAAATTATTGTTGCATACCCGAACAACATATGCCGTGAGAATCTAAGCGAATCTACGAATGATTGCATTATCTGTTTAAAATTTAACAAATAACTACTTAGCAAGACAAGTCACCACTTCTCGAGATAACCGTCAACTAAACTTCTCCTCGAATGACACTTGTAGATTGTAATCATTTATTTTTTTGCCTTTTTGGATTTTACTCGAAATGATTGACCAAAAAATAACCGAATTTAAAGTTATGGCGTGCATCTCAACTGACTGCTTAACAAAAATTTGGATGATTTCTATGTGATCGAATTGACTTGATAAAAATTGATTGTTCGGGAAATTGTAATTAAAATAGGTTTATATTTATAAAGCATTGCAATTGCAGGTTTTATTTACAATAACAAAAAATGGTAACTAATATAAATACAAGTAATTAAATACCCGTAATTAATTATGATAAAACTTTCAATTGTCAATTGTATTAATTAGAGGAATACTTTATGCAGAAATGTGATTTTTATTTAACTTCTTTTAACTAAAACAAAGCGTGTATTTCTAATACTATAAGAATCTAAGCGCCTATTTGGGAGAAATTTTCATCCGGATTTTAATCAATTATTGTACCGTTACTGCCGTTATTTTTTACTTCCTTCTCAATAAAAGTCGAACACTAGAACCCTCCTGCACTTTGCAACGGCATAAAATTTGATTTTAATCTTGTAAAATGTTAAGTGTGTGTTTGGTAGGGGATTTTTGGGGGTAGTATTGATTTTGAATAGTGATATGATGGGAAATGTGTGGTTGAATAAGTAGAAAAAATTATTGATGTGATGAAAAATATTATTTTATTAAAGAATGTATGGTTGAAAATGAGAAAATTCAGTCATTTGTTGCCAACACTCATCGTCAAGTTGGTGGACAAAAAATTTTAGTGTGTGTTTGGTAGGGATTTTTTGGGGGAAGAATTGATTTTGAATAGTGATATGATGGGAAATATGTGGTTGAAAAAGAAGATAAGATTATTGATGTGATAGAAAATATTATTTTATTGAAGAATGTGTGGTTAAAAATGAGAATTGATTTACTGTTGAAAATGAGAATTTTTACCAAACATACCCTAAATGTGAAGCAAGAAAATGCGAATCTCGAAATAATTGTAACTACTACTTGAAGTTAAATGAATAGACGCTCTAAATAAACCGTGTCAACTAAACTTCACATCAAATGACAATTGCAATCTTCGATTTTTATTGTTTTGATTTTACCAAAATTGCACCTCCAATGTTGAACATTGCTTATCAAATACATTAAAGTTAGCAAATGCATTTCAAGTGACTATATATAACAAAATTTTAGATGATTTCTATCTAATCGAATTGAGTTGCACGTAATTGATAATCTAGAGAGTTAAACGTCAAATATTTGGAAAAAAAAACTAGGACCGACCTCCGAGTAATTCAATAGGTTTATATTCGAGAAGACTGCCTTGACCCTACAAGCATAAAATCCATTAGTCCCCTATTTGGCCATTTTTAAAATTCATTGTCGACTACACATTTTATAGAATCCATAATTTTTAAGGATAAATGAAGCAAAAATCCCAAACCTTTAAAACACTAGCAAACTTTCCCCAAACTTTTTATTTGTTGCAGCCGCCCTTATCTTTCCAACCGTTGAATAGTAACTTTCTATTTACCACATTAAACAATTAAAAAACTTAAATTAAAAAATAAATAAAAGAAAAAAAACTCTCTCTTCTTTACCTACCTACCTACCCACCCACCCACACCCAAAAATTAAAATCACGGCTTAATAACACAAAGCGTCCCTACGTTTGGCATGTAGTGTGCAAAACGTCCAAACGTTTCATTTTTTTGCATTTTCGCCCTTATTTCAACGTTTCATTGCGAAAAACGTCATCTTCACTTTTTTTAGTGTAAAATGAC